CAAGTGTCGCCTTTGAGGAAAAAATAACTAAATTCTTCCTAATGCGCGTTTTCATGTATTTGTGCTTTCACAAAAATAGAGTTCATACTACAGCAAACGGCATTCTTAATGGCAAAACTTCAGAATGTTCCTATTAAATTTAAGGATTAGTCTAGATACACACCGTCATTGTTAATGATTCAACACGGTGCTGGCAGTCCTAGCCAATGCAGGAAGATTAGATTCTAGAACTGTCAAGGGTCTATCCCTTCCTCTCCCTTCCCAGCTGCCACACTTAACTCTGTGTTTTCCCTAATAAGTTTTCAGAATATCAGCTCCCACTCATCTCCCAAAGCCCTGCAACATCCTTCCTGGGGAAGCCTCTTGTTTGATTCCTGCCTGTGTTGCAGACATGGGGGCAAAGAAGAGGCCGGTGGCCCCAGGGAGACGCTCGCCCCACTGCAGGCCCTTCCTGCACACACAATGAGTTCTGGCAGCATTGCAGAGAGCGAGGTGGAACCTTGGCCCTGACCTCCTGGCCCCTTCATACCACTTTAGCTGCAGAGTAGAGACATGGAGACAAGCTTTGGTTCCTGAGGACACTTGCCTGGGCTCACCACAGAGGTATGAGGTGGGACCTGGATGCTGACTCCAGCCTCACAGAGTCCCGTTTTTATTGTCCTGGGTCCTTTTTGCCTCTTGCTTCATCAAACCACATCTAATACCCGGTACCCTTGTAGACAAGGCCCCTGGGCCAAGTACCAGCTAGCTGACTCCCTTGCACTCCCACTCCCCAAGGGCCCCCTGACCAACTTCGAGCCTCCAGGGAGCTGGTGTCCTCAGGGTTTGCCACAATCTTGCTCATCAGCTGCTGGTGCTTGATTTTTAGCTTCTCCTTCTGTTGAAGATAGAGACAGAGAATCCGTGAGGTCTGCTGCTCCCTAAGAACTAGCCTTTATACCTCGAAGGCCCTGGCTGCAGCCATAGAAATGAAGCCATAAAGCTCGGCACCTGGCTTCACTCTGTTCACCAGGCCTTGGCCATTGGTCAGCATATGGCCATTCACATCTAGGTGAGCCTAAGGCCAATGACAGGTGACACAGCTTGTTAGATGAGTGTCCCCAAACCGTGCTCATTCATTCAGGCATTAGATCATTACTGAGTACCTACTGTTTGTTGGGTGCTAGGGATACAGTGAGAGAACAACACCGTCCCTGCCCTAGAGATAGATGCTCGGTCTGGGGGATGGACAAGTGGACACAGAATGACAGCGGGATAAATGCACAGGATGAAGTGTTACCATAGTAGGAGGGCATCCCAGAAGAGAGGGCTGGGAGGGGCTGAGGTTTGGCACAGGTACTCACCTGGCTGGCCATTTCTAAAGACAAGAGTCTTCTCACGACATCGTCAACCCTGTGGGAAAACCAGAGCAATGAGACTGGTGTGCGGGAGAGGGAAAGGGGAATCAGCGCTGTTTCCATTTCAGTTTGAAAAGCAAGGATGACTGAAAATTTCTGTTATAACACAAGAGTCTCTGTGGAAGTGGGAGCCCCTTCCCAGAACTTAGAAGTCAGCACGAATCGGGTTTGCTGTGCCAAGAACATGGGAGTGATGGGACAACTGCACAGAACTGGGGCTGTCAGCCTGACTGTTCCAGGCTCCTCACAGGGAGGGCAGGGGGAGGATTTTCATTTCGGCTAGAATATGGTTCAGTCTGTCTTGAGACATTTCAATTCTAGAATCATTGTTTTTTTTCTCTCCTGACACTGTACAGTGGAAGGGACAGCCCAGTTCCCGCCGTACAGGGCAGGGGCTGAGCAGAAGGATCCTGGTTTTGGTGTCTTTCAGCCCCGGCCCCTAGGAGCCGTATGACATTGTGCAGACATTAGTCATCTATAAAATGGGGACACTGTTTCTTCTCTCACAGGCCTTTTGTGAAGATCAAAAGATGAGACATCTTCAAAGACCCGTGAGGCACGTTCCCTCCGTATAAAAACAAAACAAAACAAAAAAAGGCAAGCCGTTGAGCTCCACGAACTCCATTCTGCCCCTGCTGCCCCGCACCAAGCCTGGGCTTGAGTAGCTCTCGGCCCGATTCTATCACCAAGCTCCAGATACAGCGCGCCAGGCCTCGGAAGCCGCTATCTTCCCTCTCTCCTTCCCAATCCTCCTAGGACCCCCTGCTTACTTCTCAATATCAGGAACATTCTGGTAGTCTTTGAGCAGCGTCGAAGGAGGTGGGTCATCTTGGGTGGGCTGGGCTGTCAAGCGTAGGGAAGGAAAACACCCAGAGTCAACTCTCACTGCCCATCCTCCCTGTCCTGGCTCTTGTCACCAACTGTCACAGACACCCAGAGCCTCAAGCAAGGCACTAGAGATCTCTGCGCTCTGCAAATCCTGCAGGCAGCGTCTTGATAGTTCATGTTGGGAGTAGATGACTCTCCTAAGAGCCTGTAATTTGTCTTTAAACTTCTCACACCTCTTAAGATCCCCCATTGTGGTGGGTGCTCTTGTGGATGGCCTGAATTATCCCCTACCCCCCCCCCCCCCCCCGCCGCAGGCTCCAGCTCCCCCCCCCCACAGGCTCCAGCTTCTCCCTCCCCATAGGCTCCAGCTAACCCCCCAGCAGGCTCCAGCTTCTCCCCTCCCCGCAGGCTCCAGCTTCCCCCCCGCCTCAGGCTCCAGCCTCTCCCGTCCCCGCAGGCTCCAGCTCCCCCCCAGCAGGTTCCAGCCTCTCCCCACCCCGCAGGCTCCAGCTCCCCCCCCAGCAGGCTCCAGCTCCTCCCCCCCCACCCCCGCAGGCTCCAGCTCCCCCCCCCCCCCGCAGGCTCCAGCTCCCCCCCAGCAGGCTCCAGCTCCCCCCCCAGCAGGCTCCAGCTCCCCCCCCCCGCAGCAGGCTCCAGCTCCTCCCCCCCCCCCCCCGCAGGCTCCAGCTCCTCCCCCCCAGCAGGCTCCAGCTCCCCCCCCCCCCCGCAGGCTCCAGCTCCCCCCCCAGCAGGCTCCAGCTCCTCCCCCCCCCCGCAGGCTCCCGCTCCCCCCTCCACCCCCCCCAGGCAGGTCCTCTCCGCCTTCCGTCCCCCCCGAGGGCTCCTACCTGCCTTCTGGGTGGCATATCCGTGCCCGGCCGGGACGATGACACCTGCGCAGAAGAGCGAGGACCGAGCCCCGAGTCCTTAGAGCCCCGGCTCGCGCCCCTTCCTCCTCCCCCCTCCCGCCCCCCCATCCTCCGCCGCCCGATCCCCCGCGTCCGCCCGCCCCGCTTCCCGACGCCCCACCTCGAGGACAGGGAAGGCCCCAGCGGTGGGAGGGAGGCCTGGGCGCTCCGCCCGGCAGCCCGGGGACTGAGGCCCGGGCCACTGCCGGGGCCGCAAGCGACCGCAGGGCCCTCCACGCCGTCCTCAGCATGGCGACTCGCGCCCCGCGGCCTGGGCCCTGCTCCCAAGGGCGCCGCCATGCTGCCCCAGGCTCGACCAATGGAGCGCGGCGGCGAGGCCGGAGCAGCCGATGGCCGAGAGAATGGATCGGGAGCGCGAGCCGCGGCGTGGGGGCGGCTCGGGCTGCTCCGGCTGCGCGGGACAGGGGGCGGGGGCTGCGCCCGGGTTCGCGGCGTGCGGGGCTGCACACCTTCTCAGAGGTCGTTATTTTCGTGGGCCTGCGCCCCCCCCATTACTCCCACTCTGTGCTCCTGGCCTGGAGCCCTGGCCTTTTGGAGGCTTTTTGCAGGGCCTGCAGTAGCCTTCCCCCCTACCTCCTCTTCCTCCATCCTCCAGGATGAGGCTCCCCTGAGAGCTGCTGGGTGTCAGCCCCGTAAGCCTCGAGCTGAAGGTCGCGGATCTTGGAGTGGGACAGCCCTGGGCTGGGATGGAAGCTCAGCCATTCATTTACTCACTGTGACCGTGGGCAAAGCCAGTCCCACCTTTCTGGGCCGCGTGTACTTGTTAATCAAATGGGGGTGGTAATAGCAGAATGTGCTTTTTTTGTTTTTTTGTTTTAATATTTTATGTATTTATTCATGAGAGACCGAGAAAGAGGCAGAGACACAGGCCTAGAGAGAAGCAGGCTCCATGCAGGGAGCCTGATGCAGGACTTGATCCTGGGACCCCAGGGTCATGACCTGGGCCAAAGGCAGACGCTCAAACACTGAGCCACCCGGGTGTCCCCAGTATCTGCCTTTTAGGTTGTTGGAGGATGAACCGAGGTGAAGGATGTGCTATATGGTACACTCTCAACAAATATTTGCTGTGATGATTTTTGCAAAATGGGGGGATGTAAGGACAAGGACAAATGCAAAGCAGGAAAAGTACATTTTTAATGAAATAAAAATAAAATTTTAATTTTCCCTTGGTGCAAAAAGGGAAAAAAGCTCTCCTCCCCCTCACTCTTCTTAAAGCGTATTCTTTTGGAAAGTTGTCATTGTGAATTCTTTCTCTGCCCTTTTGAGACAGATGTAAATCTTTTCAAAAAGCTAAATATGCCTCTTGCCAGTTTTGCAGCATGGGATATTCTCAGGGATCTAGGATCTAGGAGCCATCTCTTGAAATGCAGTGATTAAGGAAGACAGTTTCTGCCTCACTCTAAGGTGCGAACCTACCTCTTCTCATAAAGAGAAATTTAGTTTTCTTTGGGATAAAGACAATTAGCAAACAGGTGTCTACCCCATTTACCAGGTGAATTTAGGATGAACTCTGTGTGACGGATGGTGCTGTGATGTCCTCTTGCCTGAGGACTAGGTATCATTTATCTTGAGAAAATGTGTGCAGTAACCTGTATCCGCTTGGCGGTAAACAAGGGTAAAGTTTCTTTCTGTCTTTTCAAGCTTTTAGGAAGGTTGGTGATGATGTCCATCACATTCTGGTTAATGTTCATTCAGTAATAAAACTGATTTCATCCTCTTCCACCCTGGTGGAGAGGTTTTCTAGGTTGGCAGGAGATTTTGTTTTTGAATGTTTTATTTATTTATTTATTTACAATTTATTTAAAAATTTTTTTAATGTTTTATTTTTAAGTAATCTTTACAACCAGTGTGGGGCTCAGACTCACAACCCCAAGATCAAGATTTGCATGCTCCACACACAGAGCCAGCCAGGCGCCCCAGTAGATGGTTTTATTTGTATTTCTCCAACACAGCAAGGATTAGTCTTTTCTGAGGTCTCTTCTCCTGTCCCACAGCACTTTGTGATCCCCGCCTCAGTCCTGGCCACTCTGCCCTAATGGGCAGTCTTCGAGTCTCTACCACTAGAATGCGAACCCTTTGAGGGCAGACTGAGTCAAGTCATTTTTGAATCCCCACTGCCAGCACAGGGCCTACATGCTAGGTGAGGGCTGGGGGGATTAATGAGCAAAGGAAGAAATATGCAAACGAACACTTCTGATAAGTACCCCCATCACTGCTAGGGCCCTAAAAAGGAAAAGGACAGAGGTGCAGGCGTACTCAAGAGTTTCTCAAAATCAAACCAAACCAAACCATGAACCAGTTTAAGAGACTGAGATTACAGGAAATAAGCACAAGAGGCTAGTGGGCAGGGTTGGACGAAGCATTCCGTGGCCACTAAATTAAGGGCCCAGCCTGTGGGGACTGGAGAGAGAGACGAAGGATGCTGGGGGCCAGAGATGGGGAGGAGACCCTGTAGCCTTACTGCCCTTCTGGGACTAGGTGGTTTTTTGCATGATGGGCTTACTAATACTCTCCTCTCCTCTGGATGGCCCAGACCTCTCAAGAGACAGGCCCAAGTGGGGGATGCTAGATGCCCCCCAGCCCCTCCACCCCATGGACCTGGAGCCCTTGCAGGAGGGGGAAGTCAAGCAGTGGCCCAAAGACACAGTCATCCTCCTGGTTTGGGACGAGGGGCTCTGGGGTGCCCAGGGGGCTGGTCTGGAACCAGAGGTTCTCATAAAACTTGGGACTGGGAGTAAGGCCCCCTAAGAGGGGCTGAGTAGAGTCACAACGGAGGTAGTGCCCTGGACCTGGGCTGGTGGGGCTGCCCAACACCTTCCCGTAGAGGACCTGGTCACAGGTGCCAGACTGGGGCTGGGGCTGGGTGGAACATGCTCTTGGGTCCCCCTGGAGCACGTAGGCCTGGACCAGGGTGGGGAGGCCACAGGTCCCTGAGCTGTCATTGGACTCCCAGGGCCCTGGCTTCTTCTCCTCTTCCTCCAGCACTGTGATCTTGGTGATGGGTGGCATGCCGGTGTCCCGAAGGCTGGGCAGCTGGAAGGTCTCCTGGACACAAGGATGGGGGGTGAGGACATGATTCATCTGAGACATTCGTCCCAACCAGTGTCCCTTCCTGAGTTGGGGACAGTTGAGATATTCCTGCTGCGCTCTGCTGGAACCCCTGAGGATGATGCTTGTGAAGCACCTCATGCTTTTCTGACACCTGCTCTGCACTTCAGACTTAGCTTAAGGTGCTTGTCCCCAAGGATTGTGTGGGAGATATGTCCCATTTCACAGTGAGATGGCTGAGGCTTTGAAATGGGTAGAGTTGGGATCCAAAGTGAGATTTGCTTTACTCCGGAGGGAGGGGACCTTGCTAGGAAGTGATGGGAAGACCTGAGTCCTCATCCTTGGAGGGGTTTCCTTTCACTTGGATCCTGGACCAGCACCCCCCGGCCCCATTTCCCTCTCCCTCTGGGGTTCTCACCTCCACCATGATGCTCGGCACCCAGGAGCCCAGGCTGCTGTGGGCTGGGTCTGGGACACTTGGCCAGAGAGGATTCTTTCTGCTGCAAAAGAGGACAGGAGAGGGCCAGGTCAGGCTTGCCCTCCATCTTTCCATCCTTTCTCTCACCCACTCCCAGCAGCGGAAGGCCCCTTGGGCAGAGAGGAGATGGTGCAGGGCCTGATCTAGACGTGGGCCCTGAGGCCTGCGAGGGCGAGGAGGGACTTGGATTGGCCCACCCCAGCCTGCAGTTCCCTGTGGGCAGGGGCAGGTAGGTATTAATTCTCTTAAAAGGACTCACCTGAAAAAAAAAAAAAAAAAAAGGACTTACCTGGGTCTGCAGCAGAGCCGGGCAGCCCCGCAGAGACAGATGAACAAGAGCAGGAAGCCAAAGAGGCCCAGGAGGACATGCAGCTCAGACTCCTCTGGGGTGAAGGGAAAGCCAGAAGGGGTTAGAGTGCACGCAAGGAAGGCTGGGCCTCTTCCGTCACACTGGGCTCTGAGGGCAGGATTGGGCCTCCTCCCTCAGGCTGAGCCTCATGGGCAGGTCTGGGTCTCCTCCCTCAGACCAGCGGATCCAGGCAAGGCCTCAAAATGAGAGATCCGTTGGCCGAGGAACCTTCCCAACAACCTTGTCTGGCCGGCCCCCTTCTCGCCTTACCTAGGGCCAAGGTCATCAGGGTAAGGCTTGTGCTGTTGGCGGCGCCGGCCTTACTGGTAGCCCTGAGGAGGACGTGGTACAAGCTGGCGGGCTCCAAGCCGTGGAGGACCAAGCCGTGGGAGGAGGCATTGAGCACAGTGGCTGGGAGTAGAAGACAATGGTCAGCCTGGGCCCAGATGCCGAGGCTCCCTCCGCAGCTGCTGAGCGCTCCCCCCGAGGCCTTCTGGGGCTGTGGGGTACTGAGGATAGACTCACAGAAGGACTGGCCCCGAGCAGAGGACGTCCAGAAGATGGTGTAGTGGGTAAGGGGGCTCTTCCCCAGCTCAGGGGGCAGGGGCACCCACTCCAGCCGGGCCCAGGTCTTGCCAATGTGCTTTAGATGCAGCTCTGGGGCGCGGGAGGGGGCTGCCGGGAGAGAGAGAGGTACAGGGGCTGCCGGGGAGCTGGGCAGAGTGGGGAGCCCAGCTGGACCCCTCGTGACTCCCCAGACCCCAGAACTGAGACACACTGTGCTGAGGAGTAAGGAAACGGCCCCCCTGGTGTTGCCGGGACCTTCAGGTGCATTCCATCGACTGCTAATAAGTGGCCGGGTCAGGACTGGAACCCGCTTCTCTGCTTCCGAAGCCTCGCCACCCCATGTCCACCGGCTTGGTTTAGTTGGGCTCGCTGTCTGATTTCTGCCCCTCGCCCTCTGACTTTATGCCAGGCCCTCCGTCTAATTTCTGCCGCAACTTACACTTGATTTCTTTCAAGGGTGATTGATGGACTTTTGCCAGACCTGCTGCCAAACTCACTCCTTAGTTTCTGTCACCCGGCTGCCTGACCTGTCTGGCTGCAGAGGTCTGGGGCTATCCAGGGGTAATGTTGGGATTGGGAGAGAGCTTCTTTGGGGCCAGGGGTGGGGGGATGTTCCCTCATAGTCCCGATGGCCAGGGCCCCAGCAGGCGCTGAGAGGAGAGGGTTCTGGGGAGGCCTGGTGGCTGACGCACCCATCTCTTGGGAGTAGGCATAGATGTGTCGGGAGGGCCCCACGCTGTCCTGGTATAGGGGGGTCACAGTGATCTCGTAGAGCTGAAAGGGCCTGATGTTCTCTGTGGAGAGAAAATGGGTTAGGGCGCCCCGGTGAGGGCCTAACCCCCACTCAGATGATCAGGAGCTGACCCCAGATCCTTGGCAGCGGATAACCCAGGCCTCAGGCTGCAGAGCTAGTTGCTTCTATCTCTTCTGCAGATCATTTGATGGGAGGGAGGGCAGAAAAGTGGGGAGAGCTAGAAGGGTGGGAGGGTCAGGGCTGTGAAAAGAGAAGATCGGGTTAGGGTGGGAGAAGAACTTCCTGATTCTGGGGATGGGAGAGGACAGTAAAGGATCAAGAAAGAGTGAGGAGTCTGCTTCTCTAGGGTGGTTCGGGTGGCCCCTCGCTTCCCGTCAAACAAGCGTTGCCTCCCTGCTTCCCAGGCCCTGCTCACCGCCCGCTCCATCCCCCCGGCCTGTCTCACCTTGCAGTAGGGTCCCAGAAATGCTTCCGTTATGCTCCATCTTCCAGGTCTTATTGCTGCCGCTGGGGCTGGGGGGACCCAGACCCCACTCAATCACATAGCCCTGAGGTCGAGGGCTGGGGGGCTCCCAGCCCACCCAGAGCCTGTGGGGATCTTGAGCCATGGTGTGGAGTCTGGCCAGGGGTGGACCTGGAGACCGAGTGGGAGGCGAAAGAACAAAGCGAGAAGAATGCAAGTGCCAGAGCCTGGAGCCTGGGTTCAAATCCTGACTTTGTTACTTACAAGCTGGGTGGCCTTGAGTGAGTCAACCTCGGGACCTCAGTTTGCTCATCTGGATGGGTTCTCTGGTGCAGATCAAATGAGATGATGTATAGGACAAGCCTAGCACAGTGCCTGGGCGGAGGAGTGCCTGACAGTGATAGAACGAGTGCCTCTCTCGGGCCTCTTGGTGGACCCAGTAAGGTAACACGCACCAAGGACCATGACGGCACATGCCACAAACCACATGGCGTTAGCATTGATCGCTGTCAGGCTTTCTTCCCATCTTCCCGGCAGAATGGGCTGTGTGTGTGTGTGTGTGTGTGTGTGGTTCCTCCACCAGCTTAACTTGGTTCTGGCTCAGATGATAATAGGAGCTGATATTCTGCCTGTTGAGCAGGAACTTGGTGCCAGGCCCGCGTCTGAACGCACATACAAACCTCATAACAATGCCTCGAGCTCAGCAGCATATTTTCCCCCTTTGCTAGGCCAGGGAGGTTCAGTCACTGGCCCTGGTCGTGCCGTCAGCAAGTGACAGGACTAGATGTGAACCCGGGCAGTCTAGCTTCTGATTTACATGCTTACCCACCGTGCTCTGCTAGCCACCGGCCCCCCTTACCTCTGCTCTCCAGGAAGACCACTGGGGTGGGATGGGAGGTCCCGGCTGTGTTATAGGCCACAAGGACCACCTCCCGGGCTTCTGAGGGCAAGCAGAAGGTGCAGCTCAGCTCCGTGGTGTTGCAGAGGAGTGGGCCTGCCCCTGCCGGGCCTGCTAGTCTGACCAGGTATCCCTGGATCTGCCCGCTGTATCTGTCCAAGGGCATTGGCTGCAGCGGGCACGGGAAGAAGGTGGTCAGAGGGATGGACAGCTCGTCCTAAGTGGGGGAGGGCTTCTAGATGGCAAATGGGTCACACGAGCTGAGCCCCACAGGCTGGAGGCCAGCCTTCCTCCCTCCCTCCCTCTTTCCCTATGCCAGGTCCTAGGAGGGAGGAAAGGAAGAATCCAGTTGGCACTTAACTATTCCCTGAACCGACCCTTTGCCTTAGGCGAGGCCTCCCTGTCATCTCTCCCGAAGGGCACTACTCAGCGGCCTGCACATGCAAGGTGCATGCAAATCACCTACAAATGCATCCACACCTCCCAGACCCGTCGGAGTCCTGAGCCCCAGACCACAGGCATGTGGCTGGGTTGGAAGAAGTGTCAGGGGTGGAGGGAGGTCAGGATGGGTCACCTTCCAGAAGAGCTGCATGTCTGCCGTCCTGGGGTCCAGCTGCCTCTGCCGCCACCACGTGTCCAGTCTGACGATGGGGGCTGTGGAGGGAGCGAGAAGAGGGTCAGGGGGAGCCCCGGATGCTGGGCTTTGTCCTGATCGCTGCTCCCGGCCCCTCACCCCCCTGCTTACCCCGTTGCGCGGTGGTCAGCGTCAGGCTAGGGCTCCAGTCGCTCCACTGGCCAGGCAGGGGCCAGCGGGTGCAGCGCATCTGCAGGGCGTAGGCCGTGGATGGGAGGAGCCCGCAGAGCTCGTACTGGAGGGTCTGGGAGAGCAGGGGCCCCACCTGGTGGGGCAGCCCTGGCTCTGAGCCTGTACCCCGTGGCCTTGAGGCCGGCCCACCCGCCCTCCCCTCAGCCACCCCCACCCCAGGCTCTCGGGCTTGCCCTCCGCCTTACCAGGGCCCAGCTGGCTTCGCCCAGCCGTGGCTGGTGGCGCAGCTCGCACTTCTGCTCTATGTACAGGCTTGGCTTCCATGGCTCCCAGCGCAGCAGCAGGCAGCCAGGCTGGGGTGGGGCCACCTCAGGACTGGGGGGCAGGGCCCACAGCGTGGGGGGCTCCAGCTTCACTGCAAGGAGAGGGGCTCTCAGAAACCTGCCCTGCCCCGTCCCCGAGGGGCCTGCCTTACTCCTGCTTTTTTCCCAGTTTCTGCCCTGGGTCGCCATCCCTGTGGGTCTCTGTCAATCTGTCTCTCTCTGTCTCTCTGTCTCTTCATCTCCATGTCATCACGTCATGTTTCTGCAGGCCTGTCTCTAGGTCTGGGTCTCTGTTTCATCCTCTTGCCCCAGGGCCTTTGCACTTGCAGTTCCCTCTGCCTGGTGCTCTCACCCTGCAGGTACCCAGGTAACCTGCCCCCCCTTTGCTCCCCCTTCACCCTTCCTGTCGCCTGACATCCTATTTTATCTTTTCTGCCGGCTGGAACATAAAGCTCCAGGGGCAGGACTTTTGGTCGTGCGTTTAGTGCCGCATCTCCGGCACCTGGAGCAGTGCCTGGTGGTTAGCGGGCGCTGCAGGAAGCTTGCTGGAAGAATGAATGAGTGAATGTGCCTCCTTGGCTCTGTGTCTCTTCCGTGTCTGTGTGTCTGTGTCTCTGTCCCCACCTGCAGTCCATCTTGTCCCTGTTGCTCTTGTCTGCCTGGGTCTTCCAGTGTCTCTTTGTCTGACCCTGGGTGTATGATTTCCTCTCTGTGACGCTCTGAGTTTGCCCCTTGTAGGGGGGCCTGTCCTGTCCCCCAGGCCTGGCATCACCCACCAACATCCATGGGAACGAGGCACAGCTGTGGGGACTTTGTGGTCCCTAGCGCGTTCTCCGCCTGCACCCAGATGCCCATGTTCTGGTACAACTGCAGGTGTCTACGTGGGATGGAGCAGTGGTTCTGGCCGTCGCTAGGCACGCAGTCGAGGATAGAGTCCTCCTGGGTCTGGCAGTTGCCACGGCTCCTGCCAGGCAATACCAGGCTTGGGTGTCTAGCAGCAGTGGAAGAGAGCGAGGCTCCCTTCTCCCTCCTGTGCTTGCCTCTGGCTCCCGCACCCCCACAGTCCCGCCCCCGCCCCCACCCCGGGACCCAAAAGAACAGGGCTAGCACACAGACCCTTACTTACTTGAAGCTCTTTAGGGTGAAGTTGGTGGGCAGGTGGTTGTTGGGTCCCGGCTCCCACTGACAGATGAGGCTGTTGGTTGTGAGGTTCATGAGGCAGGACAGGTTGTGGGGTGCGGCAGGAGGGTCTGCACATCGGGTGGGGAGAGTGCGGGCTTTGAGTAGGACCTCTCTGGAAGCTCTGATTGGAACCAGTTAGCTTCATTTCCTTGCTCTGGGTTGTTCCTCCCCGGAGCTACCCTATTTGCTCGTCTCCATATATATATATAGGGTGACCCTGCGGGGGCAGCCCTGGGGAAAGTCAAATGCAGGCCTGCACGGGGGGGGGGGGGGGGCGGGCAGCATCACAGAGTCTCTGACACTGATGGTGTAGACCTGGCTTTCCAACCTGGTTCTGACAGGGACTCACCGTTGTGATCTTGAAGTCACTGAACTGCCCTGTGCCTCAGTCTCTTCATCTGTGAAATGGGGTGATGGCCACATGCTTACTCCTCGGGGTTGAGAGGGCCGAGTGACTTACTGTGCACACAGTGCTCAGAGCAATGCCCGGCACCTACTAAGTGCATTAGCTCTACTGGCGACTCTTAGACTCTTAACAAAGAAACCTTGTCTTAAGGGTTTTTCTTAGGCGTTGGCTTGGCATAAAGCCTGGCCCCTCGGTTTGAAAGAAGGCCGAGACTGGGGTGGAGAGAAGCTAGGAGCAGGCCCAGCGTGTGAAGGGTCCTCCCCGGGGACACCCCCTAGTGGCCGGGTCGTTGGGCTTGACTCGGCAGCCCTATGGAGTGATGGTTACGACGCTGCCTGATATAAACCTCGGCTACACCCTCAGTTTGCGACCTTCACCGTATCATGTAGTCTCTTGAGCCTCAGTTTCCTCGTCTGCAACATGGGGCTAAGTAGCATGATCCACTGGTAGGGCGGATGGTCTGATAACCAACCGTGCCCAAGACGAGCTTACGGAGCACGAGCTCAGTAAATAACAACAGGTCTTATCGGTGTTGGCAGGAGGGCAAGGACAGCGGGTGGCTGGCGGCCGGGACTTACAGCCTGCCTGCACCTCGGCCTGGTCCAGCATCTGCAGGCTGTGGTCCCAGCGCAGGTAGCAGGAGAGCAGGACCCGCGGGCTGCTGAGGTGGGGCACCGTGACCGTGAATTCCTGGCTTCCGTCTTCCAGCCGCTGTCGCCTTTTTCCGGGTTGAGACTCTCTTCCCAGTTTCCAGACAATCTGTGCCTCGGGGCCCAGGTGGCTGCAGTTGGGGCTGACGATGCAGGAGGCTGTGAGGGGATCCCCCAGGTGGACGGTGGGGGTTGGGAGGCTGATGCGTCCGCACTCCTCCCGGCCTGGGGTGGAAGAGAAGGGGCGGCGGAGCAGAGCTTTGCACCTCAGCCTTTGTGCTCCTAGCTCGAGCTTGAGGCCCTTACCTTCCCACCAAGACTGGTTTTCAAGCTACACCAGTGGGACGTGAACGTGACCTTGGGAGGACAGGTGTGCACCGAGGTCTCGCGAGCCAGCCCCAGCACCCCGCCAGACAGAGCCCAGTCCCCACTGCGGCGCCCTCCCCCGGGGTGGCGAAAGCAATGGTTGGCATGATAAGAACCCCGTGGCCACAGCCCTCAGAGTTCAAATCTGATTGTGTTACCCCATCTGGACCACAGCCCTCCAGCACGTCGGCCGTGTGGTGCATAAGGCTCGGATGTTGGAACAGACGGCTTGGGTTTACAGCCTGGTTCTATTGCTTATTATTATTATTTTTAATATTCTATGTGTTTGAGAGAGAGAGAGAGAGAGAGAAGCAGACTCTGCACTGAGCAGGGAGCCCGACATGGGACTCGATCCCAGAACCCCGGGATCATGACCTGAGCCGAAGGCAGACAGTCACCCGACTGGGCTACCCCGGTGCCCCAGCACCCTGGTTCTATTACTTATTAATCACGTGACCCTGGTATGTTAGTGAGGCTTCCTGTGCCTCGATTTTCTCATCTGTACGTGGAGGAGGGACTAGAACTAGTCCCTGCCTTCCTGTGGTGGGAGGGATTAGATGTGCTAGTGCAGGTAAGGCACTTAGCACAATGCCTGGCATGTTAAGTATCTGCTGCCCTAAGATAAAGACCTGGGTCCGGAGCCCTTGTGACCTTGCCCACGCTGCCCCTCCCAGTTCTAGCTCAGACCATCCTTTCCCAGCTGCGCTTGCTCTGGCCCTCTTGCCAGTCCTTGAAAATGCTGTGATCTCTCCAGCCTCCAGGTCCTTGGACCTGCTGCTGTCCCTTTTTCAGGGGCTCCTTTTCCCAGGGTGCCTGGGTAACATTTAGCATCTTGGGGGAACCAGACCGGACCCTGATCAACCAGACCCAAGCCAAGTGCCCTGAACTTTCCCAAAGCTTTTATTATCCCTCATCATTACAGGCTCATGTGACCAGGTGCTTGTCCGCCTCCCCAGTGAGACCAGAGGTTCCGTGGGGCTGGAGACCTCTGCTGTGTGCCTCCTACTGTCTTCCCCAGAGCCTAGTGTGGACTAGGCCCTTGGCATTTGTTTAGTGTGTAAACACGTAAGTAAGCAGTGCACTTTGCCCCCCGCGCCTCCTTTCCTCTGTCTCCTGTGTTCTGAGGCCTGTTTTGCTGAGGCCGAGGCCCCAAGAGGAGAAGGAATTTGCCCAGGATCACAGGGCGGGGTTCACGGCTTTCAATGTGGGGCTCCTGTCGCTTCCCAGACTCAGAATTTCCGACTGGAGGGGACCTCCCAAAACTGTTTACTTCAAGACTCCCCCTAATCCTGCATCCTCTTCAGCCGGGCCCGGGATGGCCCGTTTTTTGTATGGCCTGCTGGCTAAGAATGGGTTTTAGATTTTTAAAGAGTGACCGCGGAACAGAAAATAAGTAAGAACACACAGCAGAAACCGCAGGTGGCCCGCAGAGCCTAAATGTGACTATATCAGGCCGTGTTTGCTGACCCCGGCTATGCAGCATCCCTGTCCGCCCCGGCCTCAGCATGCATACTCCCAAAAATGGGACGCTCGGCTCGAGCTTCCTTATTCCGGGATGAAGCCTGCCTCCCCGGGGCTGATCCCTCTGTTGCCCGTGAAGGCTGCACAGGGGACCCAGAGCTTCCTTCTGACAACCTGACCGAGACCTGTGGACAAGACCTGGGTCCCCCGGCCTTTCCCAGGCTGAGCAGCCCAGGCCCTCCCGCATTCCTCCCGGGTGGTGCTGTGCCCGCAGAGGTGTGCGGGCAGGGGCCCGGCGACCCAGCCACCCCTCATCTGTGGCCCAGGAGCAGTGAGGCAGGGCAAATGGTTCCCTCTTCCCCCCACTCTCTCTCCCTCTCCCCCCAGCACCCCTATGGCCATACTCACTTCCGGGGAGCAGCAGGGCAATCAGGGCAGCTACGCTCAGACTCCAGGATCCTAGCCCTGCCATCGTGCCTGTTTGGTGTTCACCTGGAGGCAGAGGGGGATGGTGAAGGTCATGGGCTTTGGAACCAGAGCTGAGCTTAGCCCTTGCTCTGCCTCAGCGTGGCTTTGGCCAGGTTACTTGATCTTGCTGAGCCTCAGTTTCTTTGTCTGCAAAATGGAGGCAACGAGAGTCGATACTGCACAGGACTTTGGGAAGAAGACACAAAATGATGCAAGGCACACAGGAAATGACTCTGTAAGTGACGGCCACTGTTGTTATGTTTGCCTTCCAGGAGAGAGCAGGGGCAGGAGCATCAAGGAACGGCCTTCTTCCCCCTTCCCTTCTGTCCTAGCCGGGCTAGCATGCAGGTGGCTTATTTTGGAAAGATCCCAGGAACAGACTAAAGGGGTTGGACGGAATGGAACAGGTGAGGGAGGAGGGAAAGCCAACAAGGGTGCATCACGGAGTTGGTCATCTCTGTGGACAGCTTGGGCTCCCTCCTTCTGGAACCTTCCAAGGAGCTGTGAGAAACATGCCTCAGGATACTTGATCCCTTGAACAGGAGGGAGGACGGCAACGTTTATCTACCGACTTCCGTTCCCCATGGGTGAAGGGATGTTCTTTGGGGGTACTAGCTTCCTGACACATCCAGGTTACACACGTATGCCTGTGAGGCAAGTTCTGTGGGGTGAGCAGGGCCTGAAGGGTCAGAGACGCTCCCTGGCAGAAAGGGATAGCTCCATGGGGTAGCTGGGCCAAGGGGCTCGGGCAGCCAGCCTCCATGGTGATGGCGGGAACGGGAGGGCGCAAGGGGTCCAACACCCCATCCCCGCCCCCCTGTTCAGGGCTCGGGCCTCCAGAGGTTTTTCTGGGGCCAGGTGTCCTGTAGTCATGGCGACAGCATCTGGATGTGGAGAGTGGTAGTTCCTTCCTCAACACCAATGCAAAATTGTCCCACTGGGGTGGGCTTCTGGCCTAACCCCGCCTCCTGCTCCCACCGGGGTCTTGGGGACCAGGCACCAGGGTCTCTGGCACTGATTGACAGTCTTGGCAGCTGATAAGTGTACACAGGAGCACAACATGTACCGGTGCCCTGTGCTTGGACGGGGAAGGCTGCTCTCCCTTTTCTCCCTGGGCTATGCACAGGTGTGAACAAGAACTGCCCGACATACAACCACCGTTCCCTCCCACGGGGGCCAGATCCCAAGCCCTGGGCAATGATCCATCTACATTTCTGGATCAGGATGCCAGGGGACTGCTCGCCTGTGAGTCACATTTTGGCTAATCAGGAAAAAAGTGCCCCTTCCTCTGGGCAGATGCAGCCCCACACCAAGACCTGGCAGCTGAAGAATAGGTTGGTTTCAGCCTCCACTTGCTCCTCAGCTGGGCAGCTTTGTGCAGTGAGAAACCCACACAACTGTCTACCAATCAGTGGTTGGCAACTGTCTTACTGCCGCGTACCGGTTTGATCGTCCCCCATGCACACTGGGTGGGGAAGATGTGGCCTCCTAGGCTCAGGCTTTGGGGCACTGGTTTCTATTCCCATGTGCTTTGGATCATACCCCAGCCCTGCTGCCCCAGCGAGGGTCAGCATGGGGCCCAGCCTGTGCCCTGCAAGGTACTGCTTCATCCCTCTCCTCCGGCTCCTGTCCGGAATGGGCAACCAGACCCGCCCACTCGAGAGGCCCCTGCGTCCTCCCCCTGGGATGCTGAACGATGGCATGTTTGGCACCAGTTCCTGGTCGCCCACAGCAGCCCAGGGCGCCCCCTACCCCAGCTGGGTGTGCTCGGGGGGACGTGTGGAGCAGGGCCTCGCTGCGGGCCAGCTATGAGCCAGACCACCTGCTCTGAAGCCCGGCTCCACGACTCACCAGCTTCGTGACCTTGGATGAGTTACTTCATCGTTCTGAACCTCGGTTTCCCCATCTGTGAAAGAGAGAGGACGTGAGCACCCAGTTCCCGGGGTCGTAGTGAGGAGGCACCCAGGTGGGCTGGGACGGAGGCGCTCAGCACGGAGCCTGCACGGCAGGAGCTCTCAGTGACCATGAGTGCTTTCCACGCATGACGATGTGGGTCGCCGTGTCATGGGATCCAACATGTGGCCTCGTCCCCTGCTCCCGGCCTCCTGGGACAGCCACCTTGCTTCTGTCTGTGTCATGCTTCATGGCTTCAAAGCCCTGTTCTGGGGTCCCCTGCTTGCAGCTCCTTGCCCCCCACCCGGGTCCCCTTGGCTCTGGTCATCTGCTCGGTTCTCCCGCTCGGTCCCAGCGGAACCTGCTGCCTCCCGGAGGCCGTGCAGGCCTCTTCCTCTCTCCTCTCCTCTCCCTGCACTCTCCCCCCGCTCTCCCTGCCCCAGCTCGCACCCTCCTCTCCCATGGGGGGGCGCCCATCCCACCGATGTGGGGCCGGGCCGTGAAAGGGGGCGCACAGCCGCACAATGAGGGAGAAAGTGAAATAGGTGTGCGGGCGGAGAAGGCTGGGCAGGACAGGTGCACAGGGAAGAGCCCAGGGGGAGACACAGGTGCTCGAGGCTGAGAAGCCAGAGGTCCCCAGGAGAGTTTAGGATTCAAGAGAGGGAAACGTGAGAGACGTGGAAAGGCACAGAAAGATTCAGACGCAGGAGAGGGAGACCCGGAGTCTGGACTGGCCAGGGAGAAACGGGCTTGGGGGTGGGGGACGCAGAGAGGGTTGGTGATTATGCCCGTCCCAGAGCCCAGCTCCGTGTCCCCAAGGACATGGCTGGCCGTTTGTGACCTCCCCGGTGCGTACCCCCCAAAGTGGGGGCAGCCCTGCAAAGGAGCCACCGTGTCCCGGGCTCCTGGTTCCCAGGGGCCAAGGCTAAAGGCAGGAGCCCTGGTCCCGGGCCTGCACACGGGCACTCGGCGGAGCTGGGGCAGTGGACGTGGGGTTGACGCCCTGGTGCAGCCCCCCCCCCCCCACGGATCCCCTACTCACGCTGGAGGCTGGAGCCTGTGGGGCCCCTGCCTGGCCTCCCCGGCCTCCGCTCTCCCCTCTGGGCCAGTTCCTGAAAACAGCCGCCCTCGGGCTTCTCTCCCCAGCCCTGTCGTTGATGGCTCTGGCTCGGCCTGTGACAGGCCCAGGGGCTGTGGATTGCAACACCTGCCCAGCCTCCTTCCCTCCCTCGGGCTGTCACTCAGGCACCAGGCACAGGGCAGCCCCTTCCTCCCAGGAAGGAGCTTCAGAGAGAAGCCGGTGAGGGGTGAGGCCGGGCAGCCTTCCTGCCTCGGGGGTCTCATCGAGGCCGGGGATGTGGCAACAGTGTCCCTCTCGCCCGCCTCCGGATTTCCTGACCTTAGAGCTTTTGAGTCTGGCCAGGGCCCAGGCCTCAGGGCACTGGGTGCCATTCCGTGCCCCCACCCCTGGGACAGCATCGGTGGGACACGGACCCTGGCTCAAGTAGCCTCGGGGCCCTGACCTCACGGGTCTCAGGGGGCAACCTCCAGGTCAGGGGAAGGTTTGTAACACGTACCTACTCGCCGGGCCCCTCATCACTGTGCGTCTTCCACCATTGACAGGCGATGGAGAAATGGGGACTCTGGGAACAAGCCCCAGGGATGACCTGGTAGGCTCAGGGTCTTCGAAAGCAGCCTTGAAGTTGCTTAACTCACAGCGCTTCTGCTACCCTGACCGTGTTCTGACTTAACGCACTAGGCTACATTGTGTGTCTCTCCTTGTCTGTATCCATGAATCCCCTGGAACGGTTTATAAATAATTTTCTGTGCATTTTTTTCTTTTTCTGAAGATTTTATTTATTTATTCACGACACACACACACACACAGAGGCAGAGACACAGGCAGAGGGAGAAGCAGGCTCCCTGCAGGGAGCCCGATGTGGGACTCGATCCCAGGACCCTGGGGTCACACCCTGGGCCGAAGGCAGACGCTCAGCCACTGAGCCACCCGGGTGACTCTGTGCATTTTTTTCTGAAGAAGGTTCAGACTGTCCATAGTCTGTTGGATTAATGACCTACTAAGGTTAGGTACCAAACAACTAGCAGAGTGTCCATAACATACGATCCTTATAAGTGAGAGAGGGCTTCCGAGTCTGGTATGAGGGGCAGACCTGGGTTGCCCTTGAGGGTCCAGATGCAGATATCCACCTGTTTGTGACCACCTCCCCAAGGTGTCCCATAGGCCCTGCATGCTCAGCAAATCCCGTTGACTGTTCTTTCAAAATATAACCAGAATCTTGGGTAGGCAGGTATTCCCCTTATAGTTCAACTTGGTTGGCTCTGGGTTTCAATGTTTTCATGATAAAAAGTTAAGAAAATAGAAGTATCACTTAAATCAATACCAGTTGGGGCTACGCCACCGTTATCTCGTACATAGATGGTTGCAGTCGTCTGCTTTCTGGTCTCCTACTTCATTCATCCCGGTCCCCCTGCCCATCTGTCTATTGTACCTTCAGCGGCCAGTGTGATGCTGACCAAAAAAAGTGAGTTCATGTCAAGTCAGTTCATGTCATCCTCTGTCCCAAACCCCCAATGGTTCCCATTTCACTCAGAGTCAAAGTCAAGGCTCTTTGGGACGCCTGGGTGGCTCAGTGGTTGAGTGTCTGCCTTTGGCTCAGGGCGTGACCCTGGGGTCCTGGGATTGAGTCCCCACTGGGTTCCTTGCAGGGAGCCTGCTTCTCCCTCTGCCTGGGTCTCTGCCTCTGTGTGTCTCTCATGAATAAATAAATAAAATCTTAAAAAAAAAAACCCCAAAAAACCAAAGTCAAGGCTCTTTGGATGATCTACAAGGCCCCACTCAACACCAGGGCCCCATTTTCCCCCCACCCCTCTCCTATTGTTCTCCCCCTGGCTGCTCTGCTCCAGCTACTCTTTTGTTGTTGTTGTTGTTTCTCAAATTTGTTAGGCTCCCTCCTGCCTCAGGGCCTTTGCACTTGCTGTTTCTTTTGCCTGGATACTCCCCCTGCCCCCCAGCCCCAAATAATAACACGGGTCCCTCCCTCTCCTTCTTTAGGTCTTTGCTCAACTATCCACTTCTCATTGAGGCTTTCTCTGCTCACCCTTTACAAAAATTGCTCCCCCTACCCCCATCTCGCTTTTTCCCCCATATCCCTTTTCACCATCTGTCACTGCTTTCCCCACCCTCCTACCTCCCACCAGAATGGAAGCTCCAGGAGGGTGAGGGTTTTAGTCTGTTCTGTTCAAAACTTTATCTCTGCTGCCTACAGCACTGCCTGCCACGGAATGAGCCCTTGGCACCTACCGAATGAAGGATCGAATGGATGAATCTTCCCCCCACTTTGCCAGACTTGTCCCCGATCCTCACAGGCCTCATCTGGTAAAGGGTATCACCATCCACATTCCCCCCTGAACCCCCCCATCGCAGGGGCCCAGGAGTCCTTCCTCACACCCCCTTCTCCACTCCTACATCCAACCAGTCCACGATGAAGGAGAATGGGCCTTGGGTTCATCCTGCAGAGAACATGTTCCCAGAGCAGGTACGAGGGTGCCATGGTAACCAAAAGCAGTTTTCTTTTTCTTTTTCTTTCTAAAGGTTTTATTTACTCATTCATGAGACAGAGGCAGAGACACAGGAGGAGGAAGAAGCAGGTTCCGTGCAGGGAGCCTGATGCGGAACTTGATCCCGGGATCCCAGGATCATGCCCTGAGCCGAAGGCAGATGCTCCACTGCTGAGCCACCCAGGCTGCCCCCCAAAAGCAGCTTTCATTCCTGTCTTTGTGGAGCTCTCCGTCTTGTCCACAGCTCTGAGATTCATCTGCTCTTTGTCAGATCTCCCCTCTGTCGCGGGCTCCCCGTGGGCTCCCCGCCCCGGGCTCTCTCCCTCCAGCCTCTGTCACCACCTGGCAGCGTGAGCTTCCCTACACGCAGGCGTGGCTGATCACGCCAGTCCCCTTTCTTCAGCAGCCCTAGGACACACCCTAATCCCTTAACAGCACAATCAAGGTACCCCACCAGCTCCCCCGCCTCCCTGTCCTGCCTTGTCTGCCTCTACTTCCCCAGACATACTTCTTCAGGCTGCAGTCACGCAGGTGGCTTACATGTGCCCGCCAGCCTCAGCCTCTGAACACTGACCCCAGTGCCTCCGGCTGGCCGGTCCTGCCTCAGGCCCGGCTCGGACCTCCAGCCTGCCCTGAGCATCTTTCCGGGGGGACCAGGCGCCCCCCACTCTTGCGATCCTGACTCCCACAGCGGGCTGTTGGCTGCCTGCCTCCTCTGTTGGCCTGTGGACTCCTCGAGGGCAGAAACCACGTTCTCCTCGTTGCCTCCAGCCTCTGCGTGGAGGACCTCTGGGGCCACCGAATCTCCCTCGCAGGCCTCCGTCCAGTGCCCTGTGGGCCTCAGGGCTAGTCACCCCTCCCAGGGCTCGTGGGGACCCTGTGAACTCTGGGAGGTATGAAACCCAGCGTGGTAGGTGCTCCGTAAAATTCCTTTCCTTCCCCCCACGCCTCCCAGTGAGTAGTTCAGCATTCCTTTTTTTTTTTTTTAAGATTTTGTTTATTTATTCATCACAGACAGAGAGAGAGAGAGAGAGGCAGAGACACAGGCAGAGGGAGAAGCAGGCCCCATGCAGGGCCTGATGGGGGACTCGATCCCGGGTCTCTAGGATCACGCCCTGGGCCGAGGGCAGCGCTAAACCGCTGAGCCATCCCGGCTGCCCAAGTTCAGCATTTCAGAGCGAGATTTTACTGATCTCCATTCTCCACCGAGGACCTGCTCCAGGAAGCCAACCTGCAGCGGCTGACATGACAGATTTAAGAAAGGACTCTCTTTGTGTGTGGGGGGAGACGTTAGGGACCTTATATAGAGACCTTATATTGGTGTTGAGAGGTTAAGAGCGGGGCTGAGCGGTCAGGCTGCCTGGGTTCGCCGTTTACTCGCTGTGGGCCACTGGGCAAGTTGCTGGGCCTCCCTGAGCCTCGGTGTCGTCATCTTTAAATGGTGATAGTAGTGTTCGCCTTACGAGGTTTTTGGAGAAATCGGTGAAATAATGCGTGTGGGGCATGTGGCACTGAGCCAGGCACAGAGTAGATGCTCATTAAGTGTTTACTCTGGTGAGCTGGGAAGCACGAGGCAGATGTGGTCACCCCCTCCATCACACCCGGTGTCTGCCCCGTGGGGACTTCCTCCTGCAGCTCTCCTGCCCCCGGCCCCCTGCTCCAGCCCATGGAGTGCCCCCCGTGGGCTGGAGGGCTGGGTCAGGGAGCCCGGGTTGGGGGGAGCCCCTTGCTGCGGGCCGGGCCGTGTGAGCCTCTGTTTCGGCCTGTGGGGCTCCTGCGGGGTTCAGGGCCTGCCGCCTCCTGGGGGGGCGGGGGTGGGTGGGCCAGCCGGGGCCGGTGTCCGGAAGCCCAGGCTGTGCTCATCTGCCGCGGGCTGGTTTGGCTGGAATATAGCAGTCGGCTGAGATTGTGCAAACGGGTCATTGTGCAAACACGTCCCTGTGTGTGACCTCGATTGTGCAAATAGGTGTTTACTGGAGGCTGCCCGGCTTGGACCGCCGCTTACAAAAAGTGCCTGAGCTGTTGACTCAGAAAGAAACCAGAATCTGGACACTCCTTCTTCCTTGAACACACCCTGAACTGTGTGCCTCCCGGCCTTTGGGGGGCCCTTCCTGCGTCCCGTTCCCGCTGCCCGTTCCTGCTGCCCGAACGGCCCCCTCCGTCCTTGGCTCCGTGGGCTCGGGCTGTCCCCAGTCTTCAGGGCTCAGAGGAAAGACCCTATGCCTTTCCCCATAAGCTTGGTTCTGGTCTGCGTGCTCAGGGGCTTCGATACACCTCGAGATCAATGGTCCTGTTTTACCTTGTGGCCGTTTCTAGACCTTGAGCTCCCTGGGGACTTGTTCACCTCAGACAGGTTAGGAAACTGGCGCCCAGAGAGGGAAAGTGGCCTGCCCCATGTCACACAGCCACTGGGTGGCAGAGCTGGGCTCTGAGTCTGCTCTCTGCACTTTTTGTCAATCCCCATCGGTCCCTTTTTAAAATATTTTATTTATTTATTTATGAGAGACACAGGCAGAGGGAGAAGCAGCCTCCCTGCGGGGAGCCCGATGTGGGACTCGATCCCAGGACCCCGGGGTCACACCCTGAGCCCAAGGCAGGT